ATACTGTGGATGTCTACTATACATTTCTAGTAACTGACACTGTAGGTTTTATGGATGGTGTGCCTGTAAATCCTTGATAGATCAGTGAGAGGTGTCAGGGGAAGGTAGTTGCCAGTGTGGTGGTGCGGATGTCTGGTACTAATTTTCCTAGAAAAGAAAGTAGGGCAGAGTGTCCCCAGTGTGAGAGACCCTAAGGTTACCTTGGAGTGTGTTACAATTCATGCATATAAGGGGTGATATCTGGTTCGTTATGTTGATACTTGTGGCATGCCAGGACCTTCAGATCAATTTATATGTTTTGTTGCATTTTAATTGATTTACTAAACTATGTCTTTCATGTCATGTTTTGTAATGCATACGTTGTAATTACTTTTTACGTACTCATGTTATTATGTTCAATTACCTATCGAATATATATTATTATATTTTCAAAACTTTGATAATGTTTGAGACAATTTATCCTATTGGGCTACCAAGCTCATTCCGACTTTATCATTTTTCAGAGATGGATTCAGTGGTTGGGAATGTCAATGGGGAGTATCAGCACGGAGTTTGATTATCCTTGTCCGGAGTTGTGTTTGGGGTTTTGCTTGAGATCTTTCTAGTTGTTATTACTTAAGCTTTGGTATGTAAACTTAAAACATGGATGATCAGGTTTCGTTATATGTGTGGATTGGTGATTCACTCGGTGGTTGTTATTATGGATTGTGTGATTTATTTACTTAGGGGTTCTCCAGAAATTTGCTAAAGATTTCAGAATTTTCAAAATGATTTTATTTAAAATGCTAAAATGTTTCATTTTTCAAATTAAGTTTTATCTAAAAAATCCCGGATTAACCTAAGCATTATGATTAAGGTTTCAACCTCACATTTCTCGTTTTATGAAAAATGGGGCGTGACCGCTTATATCTTAGATAAGAAGGATGAGGGAATTGAGAAAAATGCCGACAATAGTTCATCATCTTCAGTCATCAATCTTCCATAGATACTTGTACAAACCCTTCCACCACGAGCTTAAGTTCAAGAAGAACCTTTTCATGGGGATAATAATCCCAAGATATTCTTGGATTGGTTGCATAGCCTTGAAAGTTTCTTCAAATGACATCATTTGACTGATGAGAGAAATGTATTCTTTGTAGAATCTAAATTAAAGGGTATAGTAAGGCTTTGGTGGGTAAAGTACCAACAAACGCACTTTGATAGGTCATTGGACGATATGAAAATTGCTATGACTTGTTATTTTGTGTCTGCTAATTGTAAACAACGAACTCATCTACAGTTTAAATAGTTGAATCAAGGAAATATGTCTGTTGAGGATTACACAAGAAAGTTTTATAGCTTAGCCACTCGATTCGAATTCCCGTGGATTGAGGATGTAATAATCGCATGTATAGGCAATGGCTCTTAGTAGGTACAAGTGAAGGGACTTTGAGGCATCTCCTCTTAGTATTAGGATTTGCTTATTCTATTGTTAATATTTATTATTTGAATTTTTAGTTAGATATAATTTTTAGGGAAGTAGTTCATTTATGGTAGGATACTCGGTCTATATATGAGGATGTATTTCACATTATTTTAATGAGAGTTAAAAATTAATTTGAGAGTTTTCTGCGGAGATTTGTATTTTTTGACCTAATCCTTCTGAGAATTAAGTATCTCCTTTACTTCACTTCCCTATATGTATCAAGAGGCTTTCCTCGATACACCTTATCAACGACTTGATACACCATGCATCTAGGTCACTTATGCAGAGATCTCATGGTGCCTTAAAGTGGACTTATACTCATGAATATGTGATAACCCTGGTATTCCTACTAGTGTGATCTACCTTTTATTTGACTAATTCTTATTCCTAAGCAATTAGAGTTGCATATTTCCANCCCAAGATATTCTTGGATTGGTTGCATAGCCTTGAAAGTTTCTTCAAATGACATCATTTGACTGATGAGAGAAATGTATTCTTTGTAGAATCTAAATTAAAGGGTATAGTAAGGCTTTGGTGGGTAAAGTACCAACAAACGCACTTTGATAGGTCATTGGACGATATGAAAATTGCTATGACTTGTTATTTTGTGTCTGCTAATTGTAAACAACGAACTCATCTACAGTTTAAATAGTTGAATCAAGGAAATATGTCTGTTGAGGATTACACAAGAAAGTTTTATAGCTTAGCCACTCGATTCGAATTCCCGTGGATTGAGGATGTAATAATCGCATGTATAGGCAATGGCTCTTAGTAGGTACAAGTGAAGGGACTTTGAGGCATCTCCTCTTAGTATTAGGATTTGCTTATTCTATTTTTAATATTTATTATTTGAATTTTTNGTCTGCCAATATGCCCTTCCTGAATTAGATTATACCTACTTACCAATCCTACTGCATGACAAATGCACATACATTTGCTTAGACTTTTATCCATGCAAACAAGAGTCCTCAATGGCTTACAACTATCCATACCGAATCTCTTGAGCACCTTTTCCANGAGAGTTAAAAATTAATTTGAGAGTTTTCTGCGGAGATTTGTATTTTTTGACCTAATCCTTCTGAGAATTAAGTATCTCCTTTACTTCACTTCCCTATATGTATCAAGAGGCTTTCCTCGATACACCTTATCAACGACTTGATACACCATGCATCTAGGTCACTTATGCAGAGATCTCATGGTGCCTTAAAGTGGACTTATACTCATGAATATGTGATAACCCTGGTATTCCTACTAGTGTGATCTACCTTTTATTTGACTAATTCTTATTCCTAAGCAATTAGAGTTGCATATTTCCATAAATTTCAAGTATTCCCAAAATTTCTCTAAAGATACCCTTCACCATATAACACCGCAACACCTAGGTAATTCTCAAACCCATTGTAGTTACTTGNAAATTTCAAGTATTCCCAAAATTTCTCTAAAGATACCCTTCACCATATAACACCGCAACACCTAGGTAATTCTCAAACCCATTGTAGTTACTTGCTCTTTGAATTTTTTCAGAGTCAACCTCTTGGTCATTAAGGTCGGCCACCATCTCTCATGAGGGAATATAGTCACCTTTTATTTCACCACTGTCCATTATATCTTGAATATAATGATAATTTACGTCAATATATTTTCCTTTGGAACTATTAGCTCCACTTTTTATTAAAGAGAAAATGGATTTATTGTCACAAAACACATTGTGTGGTCTACTAGGTATACTCAATTTTAAACTATCAACTAAGTGTTTAATCTAAACAACATTACTTACTATCGTATTGCGCACTACGTATTCGGCCTCGAGTGTTTACTTTGCAACACAACCCTACTTCTTACTTAACCAAGACACAGTCGTTCTATCAAATAAAAATATATGATCACTTGTAAATTTCATATCATCGGCATCACCTATAAATTTTGTAGCCGTATAGTCAATAATTTCTAGATTTTTTTAATCCAAAGTATAATTTCATACTTGTCGTGTCTCTCAAGTATCTAAATATTCTTTTCACTGTCTGCCAATATGCCCTTCCTGAATTAGATTATACCTACTTACCAATCCTACTGCATGACAAATGCACATACATTTGCTTAGACTTTTATCCATGCAAACAAGAGTCCTCAATGGCTTACAACTATCCATACCGAATCTCTTGAGCACCTTTTCCAAATATTTTTCTTGATCCAACAATAAGAGCTTAGAATTTCTATCTCTAAAAATTCTAATTCCTAAGACATAATTAGTCTCACCCATGTCATTCATTTCAAATTTAGACCTCAGGTATGCTTTGGTTTCTTTTATCATATTTGAAAAATTATATGTCAATAAAATACCATCTACATAGAGCGACAAAATTGTTAGTTTATAATGACATGCTCATACACAATGGTCCAAAGCATCCACTTCAAATTCTGTTTCAAGGATTGTCAGGGGGAACTTTTAATATTATTGTCTAAAAGATTGTTTGAGTCCATTCAAAGATCTTTTAGGTTTATAAACTTTATTTTCATGTCTTTCAACTTTATTTTCATGTCTTTTAAGCATAATCTTGTTTTATACTTATCCAAAGACCCATCCACTAAATTCCAAACTTCATTTTTATTAATTGAATCAAGCTCTTCTTTCATAACTTGAACCCATCAATCTGCATCACTGCTATTGACCGACTCCATAAAGTTCTTAGAATCATCTTTTAACATTATATTTTCATCTAGACTTAGAATAATGTTCTTTAGTTTTAGAGAAGGTACCCTCTTCCTTTCACTCCCACTTTTCTTAGCCTAAGAACCGTGTTCGTCTTGTTCATCTATCATTTCCCCATCATTGATATCATTAACAGGACTTGTGATATTATTATGTACCTCATCTAACAATTTGACATGATCAACACGAGTTTTTTAATTGGCAGAAAAAGAATGGTTAAACCATCGTACATGCAGAAAAATGAAAATTCGGCAGACAAGCATATGAACAATATAGATAACCAACATGAAGCTTTCTTTAGCGAAGAGAGACTAAGACTAACAACATNTTTTTAATTGGCAGAAAAAGAATGGTTAAACCATCGTACATGCAGAAAAATGAAAATTCGGCAGACAAGCATATGAACAATATAGATAACCAACATGAAGCTTTCTTTAGCGAAGAGAGACTAAGACTAACAACATTAACACTGCAAAAGTCTGTGCAACTGAGATTATTTAAACCTTTTATTTCAATAGTTTTCTCAATTGTATAACAGAATGGTATTACAAAAGAATGCTACGAAAAATTCAAATAACAAAGAAGAANATTAACACTGCAAAAGTCTGTGCAACTGAGATTATTTAAACCTTTTATTTCAATAGCTTTCTCAATTGTATAACAGAATGGTATTACAAAAGAATGCTACGAAAAATTCAAATAACAAAGAAGTATGGTTATTTGTTCGATTATTCCTCCCGAGGAATTCCACCACCTCTTATATCAATGGGAGGTTGTATATGTGTGAAATTTGTGGAGAGAAGAATCAGAAAAACTAGAAACTTGTCAGCAGTATTCGTAAGAAGAGCTTTTGCAACAAGTTAGGACGCAATCGTCCAAGAAATTAGCAAGCTGCGAAGTATACAATTTTGGGTCGTTTCGGAAATGATCAACGTGGGGTGTGGAGATGAAGTTGCAAGCCCTAACCTCACGCCCAGTCCTCCGCTGCTCTTCTACAAAAGATTCCACAGACCCAGCAGGAATGACTTTGTCAGCAGAGCTATAAATATATAACTGCGGACAGCTTGGTTGTCGAGATGTCAACAGACCCAACACATCAGAGAGCCTCCTGTAATTGATAAGACAATAATACGAATACCGGGTCAAGAAGGAATAACAGTCAAGTCAAGAATATCAGTTCTCACAAAGATCACTACAGAAGAAAAGCTGACTGCTAGTTCTCCTCATGAAATAACTTCATTACAGATACTTGAGAAACTCACCTTTGAGAAATTTCATTTTATATATTTTTTGCTATTTTTTTATTCCTAAAAGGGTAGGGGCAAAAGAGAGCGTCCATAGACCACTTTGATAGAACCGGTGGGATCACGAGACCCCTGACCGTGTCCGTTACAGTTTTTTAAAACGAATCTAAATAAGCTAGCATAGCGGTCAACCACCGAATCTCAATATGGACTCTAAGACTCGAACCTCCAACCTCTGGGTGAGAAGATCAACCGGTATCCCACTGGACCACCCCACTCCACTCGGTGTTTAATCTAGTATATATTTTCTTTGACATGAGGTAATTCCATATTTGGTTCAGCACATTGCCAAATGACATCAAACCACAACCCCTCCATTCAAAGAAGTCCAGAATGTGACCATGTGATGGACTGAAGGAATTTACAAGACAGGTGTATGCATTATGAAATTTTAAAAAATTTAGGTAAATCATATGTGGATCTTCAGCTTAAGTGGAGGAAAGCCACTAACATATTATGTGAAAAAAGGATACCAATAAAATTGAAAGGTAAATTTTACCACACAGCTATAAGAATAGCAATACTGTATGGGACGTAATATTGGGCAACTAGAAAACAAAATAGTGATAAAATGTGCAACGAAAATGAGAATGTTAAGATAGATTTGTAGAAAAACTAGAATAGATAGAATACGAAATGACGGTATTAGAGAAATGGTAGGAGTAGCTCCAATTGAAGACAAGTTGAGAGAGAATAGTTTAATAAGGTTGGGTCATGTTCAACGGAGGCCAATAGAGGCACCGATCAGAAAATATGATAGAATTTATTTAATGGTACTACAAGTAAGGATAGACTTAAATTAACATTTAATAAAATAATAAAAAAAGATATGAAAGTATTTAACTTAAATGAGCGTAAAACACATGATCAAAATGAAAGACAAAGACGGACTCATATAACCGACCCTAAATGATTGAGACATAAGACTTGGTTTGGTTTGGTTATCTGTGAATCTTCAACTTAATTCTAATCTCAATGGCTCCAAGTTGTTCATGAATATAAAAATTCTGCAAGCAATACCTAATTTCTATCTAAATTATTGCAGATCAGGAATGAAGTGACCTCATCAATGTTAAAACAGGCCATGGTGTGTTGTTTAAAAGGGCAGTAGCTCACCTGTTCACTGGAGGGAGATTTAAAACCACCTCAAAGAACTTCTCTAATACTAATAGCAAAGCTGTTTCAATCACTGCAGGCTTGGCTTCCACATCGGTTTTGGCTCCAATCGATGTCACAGTACCTGGTTCATTGGAGCTCATGTATCCCTTTGTAGCAACACTATGCTTTTTCAGAAAAGCAGCAGAGAAACCAGAAGCCCAGACCTAAACAGATGGGACAAGTTAGACTATTGCCCTAGAATTCACAGGAAACAAAATGAACTTAGAAACAAAAGGAAATGGCAGAGAGGCAGTAGCAATAGAAATAAAGCAGAAATCCAGGTAAGCCAGGGATACAGGGTTCCCAGTTACGATCACCCAATTTGCCAACCTCCAATTGCTATCCTAACCCAAAATAAATCCAGGATCTAGGTAACGCCAAAAACGTTCCTCCAACCCCAAGTTTTAACTGTTACTGGTTCCTTATTTCTCTATTTTGGTCATCTTTGACCTTATATTTTGATTTGTGGTTGAATTAATTTTTTTTATAATATAAACAAGCAACCATTACCTTTAACCATTTACAACTATTGGTCAATACCAATAGGTCGATTTGATACGTTGTAAGAGTATGGGTACGCGGTACAACACTTTCTTAGGTATGTGCTACGATAATGATAAGTATAGTTTGAATGGCAATTTGGATCACAATTGATTTTGAAACCTTTATCTAGATCGCTTTCACTGCTATACAAGAGGATATATACTAATACATTCCCTAAACACACAATCAACTACTATTTATTTTACATTGTGTTTGAGTCAATTTGATTTCCTATTATACAAATTTCTATATAATTATATATACATGCACACATAGTTAATTAATTTTTAATTTATATTTGTGACACACGTTCCAAACCAAATCGATTTGGAGTTGGTATAATAATTTGGGATCGGAATAATAATTTGGGATCGGACATTTAAGTGATCTACATCGCGAACTCACCCCATTTGGGATCGTCGTACCTTGATCATGGATCGTTAGGCCTTTAGCGATTTCTGGTATATGGTCAATACGATATTTTGGATTACAGTCCACTTGTATATGGATACATAACAACATACAATATCATACAATAGTGAAAGCAACTTGAATAAGAGGTCCAAACCAAACCGCAATCTAAAATAATATACCAATTAAGTCTACCCCGTCACACCAAGTATAAAGAAATGTTGTGTCTCTACCCATAGGGCATACTAAATCGATCGACGATCGAAGATAACATTGAGCCAAAATTCCAACGTCCCCAAAAACATTAGAGAAGAAGACCATATTGTACAACATACGAGTGGGCAAAACCCTTCCCCGTGAAAACCGAACAAAGAAGGGGAAGAATCAAAAAGACAATTTCAAATTCTACTGGGTGACTCTTCTAGACCTCACAAATCATATTGTCCTTGATTGTTGAGACTCTAGGACTTGAGAAGGCATCTGCCTTTAGGTGTAAAACTTATGTTATTTTCAATTCTAACGCCTTAATACACCTCCAAAACTATGTCAATTAAGAAGGTATTAATCTTTAGGGGTAAACTTTGTGTTATTTTTCAATTCTAAGGCCTTAATACACCTCCAAAACAGTACGTTGTAATGAACTTGATAAATTATCCATGACTCTACATTTATATCACACCTCATAAGGCGCTCCTTAAATAGAGTAAAGCACTTTGTCACACTCAAAAGTATCTACCTCAAGTTTACCACTTCTCTAAAAATTGTTTCCTAAAATAACGAGGGTATGTCTCTTTCAACTTCTGCTTTATCACAACCTACAAAGTGAGGCACTCCTCCTCCTCCGCTCCCCCCCCCCAATGTTCTAGGTGCATTTGGACTCCCTATAAATACCACATGGCAAAACCCGCAGACTCATTCTAACAAGCCTAAATCAATGGGCATCAAACCAATCCGGTAAGGTGTTAGGATGTAATCCATAGACACCACGATAGTAGATACCAGTACCATCCCACGAATTAGAGTCGCACGATCAAGAATGAAGTAGGTTCACGATCCAAATCACTTAAACACCCGACCCCAAATTGCAACTCAAACACCAAAATAAATATTAGTTAACAATGTGTATATGAATGTATACTTATAAATAATCAACTATAATACAGAAAGAGATCCTATAAAAAATAAATCACGGCCCAAAATAATGTATCAACTAAGTCTACCCCCATTGCACCGTGTATTGGAGGATGTTCAATATTGCGACCCATACAAGTATGATGTACTTAATCGGACCACGATCTAACATTAATCTAATCCAAAATAAAAAATCAAAACTCAGAGCACCGACTTGAATTTTTTGTGCGACACCTCATGACTTGTCATCGTTGTGCTATGTTACTCAAGGTGTTACAGCTGGGGAGGTCTATGGTGCCTAATATGTGCCCATAAAGACTCATGTCAATCTTCAAGTTCAAGCATAGTGAATAATCAAATTGAACTAGGTCCTTGTGATCCTCTCCAAAATTTTTACGACCAATGAATCAAGTAGAATGGACAACTAGAGGGGCTTCCTATCAGGATATTGGACTTGACTAAACCTATAAATGGTATTAATACCCTGGTCCTCCCAAGCTCCCTCTGGAGCCTGGAATAGGTAGAATACCTAGATGAATAGATAGGACCTAAAGGGACAAATATCTTACCCTTGTGTGTGTCCGAATTTAGGTGAAATCAATGGCTTGCCACTATTCTCCTCTTGTTAACAGTTTTGAATGAGTTTAGATAAGTGGGCATGTTGATTTCTTAACCGAGAAAGTTGGCATTCCACCTTTCCAATATCAACCCCAAATTCGTTGTGTAATCAGTCAATCAACTTTTGCTATTGGTCAAATCACTTTCATGGGTCTCAATTTCTTTTTTCTAGGTCGTGATGGGAAACAAAAAATTCACAGATAATAATGGTGGATTTTTAAAGGGCAACTTTGGACTCAAAACGGTTAAATGCCAACTTATGCAAAAAATTGAAATGAGGAAAACAAACAATTAAAAAAAATAATGTGGAAAAGGGACAAGTATTCCACTAAAAGATTATGGTAACTCGTGTCAAAGGATGTATGATATGAACGAGGTATAGTTCAGAATGTGGATGCAAAAAACTAACAAATGATCTAGGAAAAATAGGATTTTGTGAAACTTACCAATGAATATTAATAATAGCAACTAATCTCTGAAAGAGTACTTATACATCTTGTGACGATAGCTATGAGTTCCCACACGCAAAGGTATAGCGAAAGATAGTTCAATAAAATATATTTTATTTTTTTTGGAGTTCTCCGATATTTTCTACATTTTTTGAAAATTCTAGGGTCCCTCTGAAAAGTTTTAAAAAATTTGGAGCTTTTTACATACTGAAGAAATTTTGGGGTTGTTCTAGAATATATAAAAATAGCTTGGACTATTGTGTACTTTCAACCTATTCTTTAATTTGGTTCGAGTAAAAAGATCTAGGTAGAGTTGGGTCTTCATCTTGGCTACTAGTTAAGTATAAGTTGGTTTGTCAATTGGTTTTTGTCAAATTGGGTCAAGTTGCATTACATATCTTGAATCGGAATAATGGATAAGGTCTTCTAACAATAAAAACTGGGGTTGGATGGAATCTCATGACCCAACAAATTATAGTCTTCACGATGAAGTCTCTAATAAAATTCAAACTTTTGCTCCCATGATGCTCACTAAAAGCAAAAATCAGCCTGACAATGGTGGTGGAGCTGAGAATTATAGTGTATCAGAGAAAACAAAAGAGACTAAGGAGAGAAATAGACTTTCAATAAATCAACTAATCAATAATCAAAAGGTCAACACATCAATCCTTAACATCAAGAGCCCTGAAAACCCCGTAATTGAAAATTCCTAATATAACTCAACGACAGAAATCTAGAATATAAATGCCAAACTAATATTCCACAAATAAATTAACCCAACTGCTGGTATGCTAACCTGATGACATAACATAAATGTAAATACAGTCCTATAGTTCACGCCTCTATAATGAAATACAATGTCATATTCATCAATGCGTTTACGGATATTCAAACAATTTGTGCATCGGTGAATGGTCTTTTATACTTTCAATTAGGGTTTTATCCCATAATTAATAATTTTTTATGGTAGTTAAAAAATCCATAAGCAATCCAATGTTCAGTTTTGCACCTAATACAATTGCATTCTTACCTGTGCATCAGGGGCTGCTACAGGAGCAGAATCTACAATACAGCCCCTAATCCTACCCACTAATGTAGGATCCTGCTTCTGGAACTTTTCCAATATAACTCCATATCTGCAAGACAATATACAAACACATCAAGCAAAAGAATTGCACAAAGAACATGAAAAAACACACTTACGTTAACCATCCCGTATTGCTAAAAGTGTGAAAGATCAGATTCTTTCCATACTCCTCTTCCAGCCAATCAGCAAGATGGTTCACAAGCAATTCTATATCCCGTTCAGCTTTGCCACCAACTTGATAACTGAGAATCTCGGTCATAGGAAACGTAAATGAAATGACATGAAACCCTCTTGAGGTATACCAATCTGAATACCGCTTGAGATGCTTCTGCTTTGCGCCTAACCATCCAAGCAAAACCACCACCGTTCTAGATTTTTCTGATGCACAATCAGAACCTGGAGATTTATCAAGAGCAACTGGCTCGGGCAAATGCCATCTGTACAACACATCAGATGATGAGGTCGAGCTAGGAACACTATGGGTATATGCATTTGGCTTCGGGGCTTTGGCCAACTCTGCAGACTGATACAAGTTCAGCAGAACAGGAGAAGAAACCGCAGTAGAGCACAAATAATTAGGAACAAAACTGCAGGCTGTATTAGGATTGGTCTTGCCAATATTAGGAACAGGTACTCGAATTCTAGTCACAAATGACAGCTTAGCAAGCTTGGAAACAGATATGTGAGACACCCAAGATGTGGTTGTTTCTTGTACCAAAGCAGAAACCGATAGATTGGATTGGTCCAAGGAAGAACAAGTATCTGATGATTTAGAAGGCCGCAATTTGCCATGAAGATCAGAAGAAACAGATGTGATAGCAAAGGCAGAGGCCGCAAAAATAGGTCTCTGAAAGATTCCAGAAAAGGAACCCATGATATGTGGTGAACAAGCTCACAATCTCTCATACAAATCTCAAACTTAACCACCAAATTCAATGAGATAAACAATGAAACACCCACAAATCATACTAATGAGAACTACCTGCACAAAAATAAGCAAAGGTTATGATTCATAAGGAAACAAATACAAATGGGGTTTTTACAAACTTCATGTCAACAACGTACGCGAGCAAAATGAGCCCCAAAAAACTTCAAAATTTTAGTCAAATAGGCTTTGGTTTTGACCCTGTTGATTGAGANACAAATCATACTAATGAGAACTACCTGCACAAAAATAAGCAAAGGTTATGATTCATGAGGAAACAAATACAAATGGGGTTTTTACAAACTTCATGTCAACAACGTACACGAGCAAAATGAGCCCCAAAAAACTTCAAAATTTTAGTCAAATAGGCTTTGGTTTTGACCCAGTTGATTGAGAAAAAAAAAAAGAGGTTAACCCTCAAGGAATTACCTCCCTCAAAGCTAACCCTAATCCATTCGGGAGATAATTCCCTTATAGGGTGTCGCACGCACCGGCCTCTCAACACGTGCAACAGTCAATCAGGACTCGCATAGTTGGCAGGAAGTCGATTTATCCTGAAAATGGAGCCCAGACCCAAAGCCTGGATACGATTTGTCCAGACAATGGAGCCTCGTCCTACTAACCAAACTGTGTTGGCACTCAGGAGGTTGACTCCAAGAGGTTGCCAAGTTCTGAACTCAAGGCGTTTGAATTTACAGTTCATTTCTATCTCCTCTTGAACGGTGTTCGGCCTAGTTGATTGATTTTAGTGCAATGTCTTACCTTCTCTAGAATCAGACTTTTGTGTTCAAGAAAATCAGGCTGCCAATACAATGTGATTGACAGCCCGAACAACGCTATAGCCGACCCCAAATTTTCTTTTGTAGAGTCAAATCTTATATTCCCTCACCCGTCCTGCAAGAAAATTAAAACCATAGTTTTAAAACCCGGCCTAGATATCAAATTGACAACGGGACTAAAATCACAATAATTATAAATAACATCAAACATGCAAAGTTAAGTAGAGAAAAATTATCAAACATGTATCTAATTCTAATCCATTTAATTTCCAATAAAACTTGTAAAGTTAAGTAGAGAACAATACCTCTATTTAAGTTCAAGACTCCAAGTCCAAGTCTCCAACTATTAATCAATCCAAGCATAATCCACGTAATTTGCACTTTTTAAAGTTCAAACTCAAACTGTAGTAAACAAGACACATGAAAACGAAATGAAGCACATGAGCATAGCATAAGGACTCAATCAACAAAAGTCAAAATAAATTACCCAACCACCGCCTATTTGTAATCCACTTGAAAATATAAATACTACCCCTATTATAGTATTATCAAATAACTAATCTACAACACAATTATATATAATGAACAAGAAGATTCCTCAAATTAATGTTCTTACCGCAATAAACAACTCACAAGTTCACAATCTTTAACAAACATAAAACACAAAGAAAAAATACAATAACACAATTCGCAAGTTACAAGTACAATTCGCAAATATGAAATAACAACATTCATAAAATTATAAGCCGGTCATAGAGGTGATGCAATAGACGTATCTGTTCATTCTCATTTTTCCAACGAGCACTCCTATTCCATGAACTCCAATCCGTGCCAAACTCGGGATTCTCAACTCCAGGACAATTGAAATTTTCAGCATTACTTGATTTTCTTACAAAACAATTGAAAATAATATAGATTCTTGAATTACAACATCCCAACAATATTAAAAACATAGATTCAAGCTTACAAACCTCGTACATTAACAAATGAAAATAATCAAAAACTAATGCATGAAAGACCCCATAAATATACTCAATTTGCCCAATCTGCTCAAGCTCAACCCGCAGCCATAAGCAAAATAAATTTTAAAAAAAAAAAATTGCCCTAATCTGCTCAATTGATCAAACAATATGCTCTTAATTAACTGCATAATTTTTGAAATAGAGCCCTATATAATCTTAATTGCATAATCTAAGGCAGCAATACAATACAGCTCCAAGACTAGTACCAAAAAAATCAAAGCTTCAATTTATGAAAATCAAAAATCAAATATAGCAGAGTCAGAGACTAGAAAATAGGGAGATCGAGAGAGAGAGAAAGAGTATGTACCGGCTGCTGTCAATGGTAGTCGTATATGCCTCGATGGAGCTCTGAAGCAGCCTTCTTCGAATTTTTAAAAGTTACATACAAATCGATTGAGTCCCTTGCTTGGTCGCAGCGCCGAGAGAGACGACGAAACAGAGCAGAGAGAGAGTCGTCGACCGTCGGCGAAAATGCAGAGGCGCAGCCGAGCAGTGGGTACCCGCCGGCCGGGCCAAATTTTAATACACTGATTCGAACAAACGTGTTTTGGCATCATAAAAATACCCTTGGACTAGGATATAAGGAGACAAAATAAGGAATATGCTCAACCTTATATTCTTCACCGTGTCCACGGGAGATCTAGATTCTTTCAATAATTTCTTTTATAAAATAATATAATTTATTAATTAATTGAATATTTTTTATTTTTAATATTTGTCAAATATTTTTTAGGAATTTCAAATATTTTTAGTATTATAAGTTGAATTTAAAATTAAAAGAAAATCCAAAAAAAAACTAGTGGGAGAGTCTCTTCATGTTGCTATAAAATTAAAAATTTTAAAGGTAACTCAAGTTATAAAGGGATAATTTGTAAATTCAGATGTTTTAAATTTAAATTTTAACAATTTCTTAAAATTAGGTCATGAGGTATTGATCTTTTATGAATACCTTAATTTCAGCGTGGATAACTTATTTTTGATTAAATCGAAAAAAAAATTANATGAATACCTTAATTTCAGCGTGGATAACTTATTTTTGATTAAATCGAAAAAAAAAATAGTCAAGATATGTATAAATTAGTCTAATCACTCCTGACCTCTAAAAAAAAAAAAAGTCCAAAACTGAAGTCTCCCCCTCATATCATCCTTGATCCNAGAGTCTCTTCATGTTGCTATAAAATTAAAAATTTTAAAGGTAACTCAAGTTATAAAGGGGTAATTTGTAAATTCAGATGTTTTAAATTTAAATTTTAACAATTTCTTAAAATTAGGTCATGAGGTATTGATCTTTTATGAATACCTTAATTTCAGCGTGGATAACTTATTTTTGATTAAATCGAAAAAAAAATTAGTCAAGATATGTATAAATTAATCTAATCACTCCTGACTTCTAAAAAAAAAAAAAAGTCCAAAACTGAAGTCTCCCCCTCATATCATCCTTGATCCTTCGATTGTCAACAAAAATATTGCAAGGAAAATGCCAACCATTCTTGCGAGAACAACATGGGTGATGGGTCCTTCCGCAAACAATTCAACGGCATTAGCACAACAAACTTGAAAAAAGGAAAGGGTGTTGACCAAAGAGAGGTTTGTGAGCGGAGCACAATAAAGAGTCAAAATTAGTAAAAGGATCTAAACCAGCAGGCAAGTAACAAACAATTCCAATCCACCAATCAACTAAGTTGTGATTTGATTGCTAAAACACTGTGGAGGGGATAGGAATTAATTAGGACTACTAAACCAAAAATTTTGTTGCATCTTACTTAACAAAGATCTTCAAAAAAAGGTTTCTAATTAGAAATTATACGACCTCAATAGCTTTCGTACTTCATAATGGTGTAAAAAATCGAGATGTACGTTAGAGATTGAATTACTAACTGGATGCGATAAGTGATAAAATTGCAATAGAATAATGAAACTATAAAGTTTAAAATGATTTGTCTTGCTGAAGGAGAAGTAGTCAATTATTGAAGGGAGACTTTTGCTCTTGGAGGTCTGTATTATTGCTCAAAAGAGATGATTACTTTTGAAGGCATGTTATTCTCTCCTCGGTANTGAAGGAGAAGTAGTCAATTATTGAAGGGAGACTTTTGCTCTTGGAGGTCTGTATTATTGCTCAAAAGAGATGATTACTTTTGAAGGCATGTTATTCTCTCCTCGATATCGATAATCTAGCCAACATGGCTCAATCTCTTTCTTATATGAAACAGGAAATAGATAAAGACTTGGGGGCTATTTGGTTCATGGGTTTAAGGTGGATTAGCGGACGGAATTAAGAAAAAATAGTCTCAGGGCCCCATATAAACCATATTTGGTTCATTTTTAAGGAAATTAAACAATTGGACTAATTCTGATCCAATATAAATAGTAGATTTTACCCATGTATGGGGTTTTGATGAAACCCTTTTGGGGGGTTTCAAAAGTAAGAGATGACATTTGTAAGTAAAAAGATTATTTTACTTAAAAATTTATTTTTCTTTGCACCTAATAATAAAAACTTTTAGTCAATTGAAAAAAATGATTTAACATGAATCCATGGACTCCACATGTATTTATGTCAGTTATCAAACATGAAATTGAATATAATTTATTATTTGGATTCCATGTACAAATCTTTACGATTTGGTTTGGAAAGACTTTTAGAATAAAATCTAGTCCACTAAAAAAAACCATTCAAATGGTCCCTTAAAGAATCCCAATTGATTCTCACCGGTTTGAACAAGAAAATGAACTTCATTCATTAAGATTAAAAAAAGGGTTACAATCCACCAGTAGTAATGTCATCAATTCACGTTGTGGGTTTGAAACCCAATTTAAAGATAAAGAACTACAAAAACTAGTTTTAGCTATCAAGTGAGCGACTTTGTTGCAGCTTCGAAGAGAGAGTGAGAGTGAGAGAGTTTGTGATAGCCTTAATATTTTCGACAAATGCTGCTATTTCCCATGGGGGTGCATCTTCTCCACTGCAGACTAGGATTACTGCCTAGCTATCGCTTTTCACAATTGCGCTAGTTAATTGCAAACTCTCCGCCATTAGACATACTTTGTAAACAGTAGCAATTTCATTGTAGAGGCTTGAAACTGCTTGAATGCATTTAGTCTTACCATCTAACAACTTTCCTACAGCATTTCTGAGAACAATACCACA